TTTTCTCCCAACTGTTCTCCTCCACTTAAGACATAAACTGTGTTTAAGTAAATACTCTCCAAGCCGGCCATTTTGACATTTTTTTGTCTATTTGATCGATTGGACATGCGCCTGAAGCTCAAAGTGTAATTTGTTTGTCCGTTTTGTAGCGCGCCGCGCGCACACATTTCGGCCTGAGGAACAGCGTCTCTTGTGCGGATTGTGCTTTCAACGTTTTATTATCAAACATGTCCCGCAATTTAGCAACAGTAAAGACGGCATTTTACAACAATCACCGATTGAGCTGATTCTGACGTTAAGTTTGGGTTTTAGGGAGGAATGAATGCGCACCGCTGTGAAGGGAAAGAAGTTGCACAATACGAAACGCAGCTAGTTTTTAATAGCTTTACCTCATGTCTTCTTTTGTATAATCCTTAGAAGCCAAAATCGAAATAAAAAAATAAAATTAGCTTAATAAAACAGCCACAGGCCTAAAGTGTAAGCAGATGTTTGAATGTGTAGTTCTCTCTTCTATCATAATTAAAAAGGGCTTTCATGTTGCGCGTGCTGAAGCTCCTCCGCGTGGGCACGATCTCGCTTCTGAATTGCGAATAGCAAAAATGCATCATAGACAAATGTTTGAAAAACAGCTGGCGACTCTGGTGAGATAGAATTTTCAAGATAATGTATATATAGCAATAATAAATGTATGTGTGTTTTATTCATTTTTCCAGTACCGATAGCAGAACCGTTAACGTCAGAGCTTATCGATACTCCGGTCTTTCATAATTTAGCCCCGGTACCGATTAAATACAGAGTTTCAGTACCCATCCCTAGTTATGCCCTAAAATAAAAAAATTTAAAAAAATCAAGATATTGGTGCAAAAATGCCCCTGTATGCGTTTTTGTCTCATATTTATATGATATGATAAGCAATATCTCATGAGCAGCGAGATAAATATCACACGAATGCTGTTTTTGTCACGAAGGTCACACACACAGTGCGCAAATGTGATTTTATACAACAGTTCAGTAAATAAGAAGTTATTATTGTGCTGTATTTTAAAAACAATATTGTGTGTTTTTATTCAATTTTGCCAACGAAAATATTACCTCAGCCAAAAAAAAAAAAAAAAAAAGCCACAAAAAATTACCTCAGCCACAAAAAGCCACAGCATAATTGTTGTGCGTCTCCGAGCAAAACAGCGGTGTTTAGTTTCTGAATGAATCTGCGTTTTGCAACGAATCATGTGAATCAATGATTCAACGAGAGAGACATTTACTGAATTCCTGAATGAATCAGCCATTTGAACGAATCGACTCAAAAAGACATTTACCGCCACATGCTGGTAGTTTTAGTTTCTTCTTTAGAGTATCATTTCACCAGTATAGCCTAAAGATTTAACATGATAATAGCTTTAAATTATTTTTGGGGGGTATTTTTACAGCCAAATTAGTTTGTGATTAATTCGATTAATTAATCACAGCACCCTGTAATTAATTAGATTAAAAATTTTAATTGACTGACAGCCCTAATATTCACAAGACAAATGATGATCAGTGGAGTGTAAAGGAGACATAATTTGCCAACTAAAAAGAAAGAAAACAAGTCAAACCTTTTGGAGGCAGTCCAGGATCTCTAAAGCAGGAGTAAGTACAGTAGTCTCCCAATTGGTCACGTCTGTCACATCCAAACCGTAAACTGGTGGCACATTGCTAGCAGGTCCTGAAAATTCAGAAGACAAATTGACAAAAGACGACACTGATGAAATAGCATCTTGATTAAACTTGCAGAATAATCATGGTGCAATCTAATGGTGTGAACACCGTGCACCCAGCTGATGTTCTTGACTAAATCTAATTGAGAAAAGTTAATGTTAAATCTTAGGCTAATGAATAAATTACTTTCCTTAACTTCCAGCTTGAGTGCATTGGGGAAAACAATGGCCATGATTTGCTGGTTATAGGAGGAAAAGCTAACACACAAGGATGTAAAGTCAAAAAACTATCATAGGATCTATAAACTTGTTAATCTAACAAATTTAAAAATGTTAAAGGCAAAAGGGAATAAAGGTACTGAATATGTCTGGTGGTGTGGTGCAGGGAATCAGTATGGAGAAGCAGGGAGGGCCTGCAGCAGCCTGAACCTGCTGAATCACTGTCGCTCGATAATCTCAAACAGCATTCTGACACTGTCAGCAGAGACGACCTCACTCTACCTCGCTCAACGCTATTGATCCACGCACAATGCAGCAGACATGCACAGATAATGAGAGGCCCATACGTTAAACATGCAGAAGAAAGAAAAAACTGTCTCACACACATAAAACAGAAAATATTCAGTTTATTAAGGTGTTCTGGGTCCATGTCTCTATGTTATTCTGGTCCCTAGATGATATTTGGGATCTAGACAAAAGGTTTTGATCCCACTGTAACAGTCAATCTCTTCTCATAATTTGATGCATCATTCATGTCAGCAACACAAATGGTGCAGGGCAAGTTAGGTCCCGAAGTTCAACATTTAGGGTTGTTGTTGGCTGTACAATAACCCAACCCAATGCTTGGCTCATGTAACCCAGATCATTAATCTAGGTCCCTAATATTTAATTGAAATTTTATCTAATTATTATTGCTATAATATTTAGAAAGGAAAGATAAATATGTAGAAGGATCACACTACAAGTAAAAAGGAAAAAAAAAGTTCCTGAATGATTCTTAATTGGGGAGTTGAAAGGTGAGCTCAGCCCCTTGTGGGGGGTAGTGCACGAGCAGACAGAACGAGAGCGAACTTGAAAGAGAGAAGACTCAGTAGCGCGAATTCAATGAAAATACAGTTTAATGATCCAGCAATAGATTAACAAATTAAGACCCAGATTAGTGAGATATTAACTCTTAAAAGCTCACGCTTTGAGAAAGACACGACAAGAAACAGCACTGAAAGAGACGCAACAAGAAGCTGATGAAATAGAGCCTAATCAGTATTTCTTCGGAGGAATACTTAATTTATTTATTTTTTCTGATACATTTCTCCTTGGCCGGGTTTTTTAAAAATATTTTTTTGTCTTTGTTGAGAATTGAGATCCTGAATCCTGTCCTTGCTGAATACTCGTATTCCGGTTTGGACTGGCGAGCCATCCCATCATTCCGTGCCTGGAAACGGAGAAAAATAGTGAAATTTGTCGATCTGGTAGGACCAAACTATATTTGTTTAGAGTTTTTCCAAGTTTTGCTACCCGGATTTTCCCTGGATCAAACAATTCTTTTCCTTTCTTCATGGACTGAATTTTTCCACTTTTGATGAACATTGCTATATTTTTATTTATTTTTTTTTAACTTAACTGGACATTGAGACTTTTGACTTTGCATCTGAAACTTAACTGGACATTGAGACTTT